TCGCATTGTCCATGTTTAATGCAGCATTTCTATAAGTGCACAACACACTGTTACACAGTGGTATGCACGGAGTTCCTTAGAGTGTGATGTTTCAAACAATTCATTGTTTCCTGATGCATTTAAACATAGGAACCTTTCTTTATACTGAATTTTATGGGAATGGAATTTAGGAGGCTGATCTAACCTTTCGGTTTCAATAATGGTGGACCATATTATTCTAATAACCTGTCCTAATAAAAAAATGATGAATAAAATCTACTTATTTATATTGACACATATACATATGCATTCCTTATCCTCACATGTGTAGCTATGTATACACATACACACAGAATAGGAATATAAATTACCAGGCAAAGACTAAAGGAAAATGAAACAAAATAGAAACTTAGAAAGATTATAGCAGAGTAATGAAGCTGCTTTTGCCCTGAGGGCAAAATCAAACTAATTGACTTTTTCTTTTTTACTTTGTTTGGTGAAGGAGGCGAACATCTGAGCCCAGGCTCCCCACAAGGTAGGAGCTCTAATAGGGGACCCTCCAGAATTAGCAGGGCTCACTCAGGGTAGGGGTGAACCAGAGGAAACCAGCTGTGCAGACTCACTGCTGTGCTCCAGGCCCCTCCACCTGAACCTTGTAAAGGTGGTCCTAGAACAGGGACTCCTCCAGTCCCCTGGCAAAAGCCATCACAAATCATCTCTAGAGAGAGGCACTTGCATCCTAGGCTTTCAATTATTCCTAAAAGTACATGTTCAGGCCATTGACCCCTCACTGTCCCCTCCTTGGCTGAAGTATTGCTCATCTGCAGCCTACACTTCATAATAGGCTTTTCATAAGTTGCCTTGACCCTAGCTTCTTCATCCAAGATAAGTTGAAAAATTATGCTCCCAAAATGCCTTAGTTGCTGTATTTATCATTTTCGTTTTGTTGTTTGATGGACTACCTTTACCAAAAGACCGTGAACCCCTCAAAGGCAGAGACCATACCTTCTTCATCCTGTGTTCCCAGCACTGAGGACAGAGCATGCATCCAATTGTGTGTATTCAATGAACGAACAAGCCCTTCCTGAAAGTGTGGAAACTGAAGGGGAGAGTTCCAGTGAGTGAATAAAGGCAGGTAACTCCTGAGATGTAAAGCCGTCACCTCTGCCTTGGCTTTCCAGGGCCACCTTGGTTTATCCCCGGGCCATAGGTCCCCAAACGTGGGGACAAGGAACAGAGGATGAGGAAATAGAACGTGGAAAATGGAGAGACCCAAGTGAGCAACAGCTGTCATGAAAAGGAGAATGAGATCTATGCACAAAACACCTGCTTTGAGTCCTGTCCCACCTCATACTAGACATCTGGCTCAAGTCACTTAACCTCTGCACCTCAAGCTCCTCAGCTGTCACATCAAAGCAGTAAAGATATCAATCCTGTTGCTTATGGTTGTTTTTCAAAATGAGATGGTAGATTGGAAATTGCTTTGTAATTCAAAAAGAGCATGTAAACTAGCTTTTGCATTGAAGTTGTTGGTTATTATTACTAGTGGTATTTAAAAGGAGACCCAGAGAGAAAAGGACGCACAGAAGTGAGGTTGAAGTGAAGAGAAGTTGAAGACAAAAATCACTCTAACAGAAGCAGATTCTCAACTGTCATAAAGGCACTGAAGCCCTTCATATGTGGGAACTCGAGTTCTAGACTAGAAGGCGGAACCACATATTGGTTAAAATAAAGACTTCAAAGTAAGGCCTGGCCTAGTAGGTTAAGATGAACAGATGCCCCAGCAGATCATCCATGTGAGTTAACATGAGGCCTTGCCATGAGGATCTCTGAGAATATTAATCACCATCAATCTTTCTCATCCCTTTGGTGCTGTACACATTATTCCACCCCCTCTCTTCTCCCCTGTGGCCCAGCCCCCTCCAACACCCACCTGCCTCACAGAGTCACCTTACTAATCAGGTTGTCAGCAACCATCAGCTGGGTGGAGATGCTTACACCAATGGCAAAGAATGACATCTGATTGTGACATTTTTCCCAGCCAACTTCTGTCTGGGGACCTGGCCTATATTCCCTTCTTGCAAGCTCTGAGCCCAGGAGAGTAGCTGTTATCTTATCTGGGTGCCCAACTCCTGCTCCCCACTGAAAGGATGGAACTAGTTATCCATTTCTACTGTAAACTATACCCCATTTCTACTTTCTTGAAAAGATATTTCTCTGAACTTTGAGGTAGATTCAAAGAATTGGAAGTACAGACTGTCAGAGATAGTAAAGGTCCTTAGGGATGGTCTCATCCAACTTCTTCATTTTATGGGGGAGGAAACAGAGGTCCCAAGAGGTGAAATGGCTTATTCAAGGTTACAGAAAGAACTGTGGCAGAGCCCGGATAAGAACAGAGGTGGGAGAAGCTGAGGGACAACAGGCATTTGTAATGTCGACTTACACATTTTCATCATTTTATCCATGAAGAAACCCTTCTCTTGTTGCATTTTATTTTAGAACTACAAAATTCCAAATAATGAAAATCCCTTAATATTTTTCATTTAATATGATTGTCACTCTCTTACTACCTAAGTTGCCTTTCAGATTCACTGACAAAACCCCTTCAACCAAGAAGAAGAAAATGGCTTCAGGTCTTGTGGACCTAATACACGCTAGGTGTCATGCTATGCAGGTTTATGAGACAGGATCCCTCAGAGTGGAGAGATCGTATAACTTGTCTGATATCAGAGGGTCAGGAAATGGACCTGTCAGACTCAAAAGCTCCTGTTGCTCCCCCTACACCTGCCAGGCAATTTATATCAGTTATTTCATTGCGCAGAAAAGAGAACCATCACATGCACAGTGACTAGTGCAGCGCCCAGAACATAGTAGGCCCTCAATCAATAAAGGGCGATGCCCTCTGCGCTTCCCCTATAGGAGTCAAGAATAGATTTGAGTCACTTTTCTTCTGGATATTTCATAATATCCATATATAACATTCGTATATAACATATGCATAATATATTGAGATACAAAAATTTAGATGTATATAGCTATTTTTGTATTGATTGTTTATGGGAAATATTATGAAGTCTATCTCTATGTACTAATATTAACCTACCATTGTCAATAATTTTTGCAAAGGCATTTTTTGGAAGAGAAAACATCATTTAATTCTGTTCAGGAGGTTTTCCTATTCGGTGAAGATTGTGCAGAAGCAGACTCAGCCTAGATCCCAGCAGAGAGCACCTCAGCCTGCCCAAGGAAACTCTTCCCAGCCTCCCAGGGGTTTGGCTCCACATTCTGGGCTTGCCGTTCTCTTTAAGTAGCTCATAGAATGTCCTAGATGAATATTGTAGAGGGACCGGGAACCAGGAAATCTGGATTTTTTTTTACATAAGAAATGACATATTATGATTTTTTTAAGTTATAAAAGAAACAGGCTAGGGTAGAACTTTTAATTAGCCTAAAACCTGCTGAGATAGAATACTCAGAAGGTCACTTTTATAACCATCAGTTTTAGACATAAGTGTGTCAGCATTGTGCAGTTGTATGAGGGTGCCTGTCCTGGGAGACAAAAGCCACCTAACGTTGACACTTGAAGGCACCTTACTCATAGTACGGCCCAAACTGTGAGAACTAGATCCAGAGACAAGTTACACACAACAACATAACAGAGCTAGAAGAGAACCAGGTAAACGAATGCTACTGGCCAGTTGTTTTAGATTATTCTTTCTATGCTACTGGGCTGCAAGTTCATGGGATTGGATTGGCGGGTGGGGTGGAGGAGGGGAGGTGGTGGAGGGAGGAGCAAGGTGGGGGGAGGGGGTGGGGCAGGCAGAGTCCAATTCGTGGAGCCACAGGTGATTTAGAGTTCAAAGGCAGCATAGCAGTCAAGATGACTTTCTGCTATGTCCCAGGGTGACTGAACAGAGCTTGCTTAGAGGGAAACACGAGATTGCCTGCTCTTATTTATCTGTTTGTTTAGGAATCTGCCAAAAATGTTGTCTCCTGTGCTCATGCCCCAAGCCTTATGGGGTTGCTTTGAATAGCAGATGTTGATCTACCCATGTTTTTAATGTGTGTGTTTGCAGTTTCCGGCTACAAAAATCCACCCCAAAGCCTCTGGAGCAGGGGTGGGGAACATCCTTCCCATGGGCTGTTTAAGGCCCTCGAAATCATCTGGTCTGGCCCTGCCAAGGCATGAGGGGTGAGTTCATTAAATGTTTGCTCAAATATAGCAGGCTAATTTTTAAGTTGATAATTTTGTCTGGCCTGTGAACGATGCTATAAATATCCAAATGGCCCTTGGCAGGAAAAAAGGTTCCCCACCCCTGCTCTAGAGTTAGCAGACAAGAGAGAAAGAAGATCATGCTACTGAGGGAGGGTGACTGGCCTTGGGACCCAGATGCTTGTCCCACGAGGCTCACCTTCCTCTTGGAGGCTTCTCACCACCAAGGCTGCCTCACCAGGGCTGACATGGGGAATGCCTACCTATTTCAGGGCGTCCTACCTAGCCTCTTCCCTCAGGCCTTTACCCTTTGGCCTCAGGAGGGCAAACCTATCAGATGAGAAAATGTAACCCATACAGCCACCATGGGTTCCAGCCACTCGCACAGTAGCAGGGGTATCATCCAGTGATCCTCCTGAACAGACCTGATCTTGCATTTCCTTCAACATCCAGGAAGATGAATTTTGAGTTTACTTACATTCAGAGAACATGCTACCATGAGGACCTCATCGTGGCCAAACCCCTTCCTCAGACTAATTAGAGGGCAGGCAACCTTCAACCTTGAACTCTTCCACCTTCAAATTTCCACCCTCAGATCCTGCTGACTTGCAGAGGAAAGTTTATCCAAGCATTCTAGAAAGCATAGGGGTCCCACATGGGATTGCACCAGCTTGATCTGCTTGGTCATATCCCCGTGAACCTGTCCACTAGTTGAAAAGCAAGAGGAAGAAAGGAAGGAGGAAGAGTTTCTAGTGGAAAAACATGAACCAAATAAACAAGCAGGAAGTCACCGAATTGCATCCAAAGTTTTATTCTTGCCAAAGTTTGGGGGTTGCGCTAACTCTGGCAGGCTGCCTTGATAAAGAAGCCAAGTGTGGAGGTGAAGCCATGAAGTTCTACATCACTGGGAAGACAGAGAGCAGGCAGGGCTGGTGAAGGTTCTGAAGGTAAAGCAGGCATTGAGTTTGGGAGCAGAGCTGTGTTTCTGTATTTAACAGCAGCAGTCATCCTCGCGATGACAGCACGCAGGACCTTCTGACCTCATGGGAATAATTCCCAGACAGCAGATCCCAGAGCAGCACCCGGAGCAGCAGCAGCACCCAGAATCCTCACAGCAGCCAGAATCCTCACAGCAGCCAGATGAACCTGAGTTGCAGTTTTGAGGCCGTTGGACCCACCGCCTGAGGGGGCTCACCCCGAAGGTCCGGGGAGCCAGGCAGCAGTAGCTGGTGGAACAGGGAGCAGAGCATGGATCAGGGACACAGCACGAGGCGCCCGAGCCACTTGCGGAAGACTGAATGTAGTAGCTCTGGGAAGAAGGGTACTGGACATAGTATGTCTGGGCCTGGTAGGGAGTCGGGTATTTCACGTAGGTCGTCTGGCACGGAGCTGGGCACTTCACGTACGTCTGGCAGGGAGCTGCACATTTCACATAGGTTGTCTGGCATGGAGCTGGGCACTGCACATACGTCTGGCAGGGAGCTGCACATTTCACATAGGTTGTCTGGCATGGAGCTGGGCATTTCACGCAGGTTTGAGTTGTGCACGGAGCTGGGCATTTTACGCAGGTTTTAGTCGTGCATGGAGCTGGGCATTTCACAGTGGTAACTTGGGAACTTTGTGCAACTCCCAGTCCCGAACCTTTCACACAAGATGGAGGGAACTGCACCTGCTTCTGCTGGTCACACATTTTTCTGTGCTTTGCAAAATCTGAAAAGAAAGGTTTAGTCAGAACTAGGAAGATGTCCAGGGGCACCTGCAGCATCCCCTTTGGATAGAGTGGTCTGTGAGGAGTAGCCTTTCAAGAAGGTCATGTGCACCCAGAAGCTGTCAACCTGGCATTCAGGTGGACTTGCTACCTTAAGCTCAGCGCCTGTTCTTTCATCTGGCCCATCGTGTGACTTTGGATAAGGCACCACTCATCGCTGGGCCTCAGTTTCCACCATGGAAAATGAAGGGTTTGCAAGAGTGATGCCTGCATTTCTGCCCAACTCTCTAAGCCTCCTCTCCCCTTACTCACTGTAGTGACTTCATTATGAATGCTTCTTGGGAAATTGTTGTTTCCACTGAGTTTACCTTGCCATCGATTCATTCAAGAGTGGCTTTCCAATGTCATCCCAATAAAATTTAATTTTTTTAAAAAAAGAGTGGCTTTCCTTCCTCCTGCCCAGCCAGGCAGACACAGGGAAGGCAATTTCATGTCAATAGACCCCAAGACAACAGGAGTCTCAAGCTGAGCCTGACAGAGTCTAACAAGGCCAAACTTGAGTAAGTTTCCACCAATTTCTCTTTGGATCAGCTAGACTGTCACTTTACCTCATTAATGAATCCAAGAGAGGACGGCACAACTACATTCAGCAAGAGAAGAAGGTGACCCAGTTCACTGAAAAGTCCTTTTTCCAAAGGCCTAATGGCTCAGTTCAACCCTCTACCTCTCCTCCAACCCTCCAGCCTCCTTTTCTACGAGCTACTGCCCTCAGCTTTCTTCAGCAGTGGCCCTCAATGCCTCGTTCCGACCCCCCTCCTCCAGAGTTTTCCACTCCTCTAGAGTTTTTCCAACTCCATCACGGCTCTCTTTCATTCCGTTGTTACCCCAGGTACAGAGACTTACCCTCTGCTGACAGGAACACGACTGGAAGAAGCCAGTGATCTGAGGAGCTGGCAGTTGGAGAGACCTTTTATAGGGGAGTAGTGAGGCAATTTAATGGTATCTGAATGAAGCACCAGCAATCATGAGGACAAGGGCCAGCATTGCATTGGTGAGATTCCTCCCACTATGTCTAGCTCTTCAGTCATAGGCAGAGCATGTCTCTGCTTGACATGCTCTGCCTAAACTTGAGATAAATGAAAAATCTAGATATAGATCAAATCTAGATATTTGAATTTACCTAAACACAAGATAAATGACTCTTGTTGCCTTCCTCATTAGACAAGTCAGTCTTCTTTTTCTACAAGTTAGGAGAGATGCTGATGAGATCTGTCCCCATGAAGTTGTTTCTAGGTCACTTGAGTCTTCAAGGACTTGTTAAGATGTGATCAGTGGCTCAATTTTTCACACTAGCTGTGCCAAGAGCTACTCTGCATTTGCCCAGACTAAATGAAGTGTTCTTTCTGAGGACTTTGATGATAGTTCCTGCTGGTCTGGGCTACTGCACATGAAGAGTTTGGCTCAGTGGTCTCTGCCTCAATATGGCAGCAAGGCCTTCAAGAAATGCTTCGTTCCATGGACTGACAGGCTATTCTATGTTTATTTGGGAAACAAGGTGAATTCTTGATGATCCCAAACTCCAGGATCTATATCTACGCTGTTTTTCCCCACCTTCTCATGCCCTATGATCTGCCTCATTCTCATCTCTCAGAACCTCATTACCATGCCTAGATCCCCAAGAGCCCAGCACAGGGGGAATTCCAGCCAAAGGAACACCATACAATAACAATAATAGTAGAACATAACATTTAGTTGAGTTTTCTGTATGTGCCAAACAGTTCATGAGACGCATACACTTACAGATGGCCGTGTTGCTGAGGCCCTGAAAGACTAAGGAAGTTACCCATTGTCACAAGCAAATAAGTAGAGAAGCTAGCATTTAAATGTAGGCAGCTGGCCTTCATAAGCCATGATTTTTAGCACTATAATACATTACCTTTTATTTCTGGATATAGCTTTGTCCCTGAATCTCTGCTTCCTTTTCTTTCCCCAGTGCAGTGTATGTAGGAAGAGAGGTAGAAATAATATATATTTAGAACTTACTATGTGCTAAATACCATCCTACTGCTTTATCTGTGTTACTTCATTTGATCGTCATATGTTAATCCTAGTTTTATAGAAAAGGAATCTAAGACCCAAAGGCTTAACTATTCCACCAAGGACCTCCCGTTGGTAGGGAAGGGGGTATCATTGAACCCAAGCTTGTCTACTTTCAGAGCCCACACTCTTCCCACTAAGCCCTGTTGAATTGCCCATTGTGGAAGGTTAGCTTGCTTCTGAGCCTAGCACTGCTTCCAAATACTCATGCCCTCACATCAGCCAGCCCAGGCCCCACCATGGTCCCTGTGGCCTTTCAGGTGAAAGATGCTTCTGCATTTCTCCATAATGGATCCCCAAACTCTCCAAGACCCATAAGCCTTAAGGCTCTAAAATTTCCTAAATAAAAAGGAAAAAACAGCCGAAACCGGTTTGGCTCAGTGGATAGAGCGTCGGCCTGCAGACTGAAAGGTCCCAGGTTCGATTCCGGTCAAGGGCATGTACTTGGGTTGCGGGCACATCCCCAGTGGGAGATGTGCAGGAGGCAGCTGATCGATGTCTCTCTCTCATCGATGTTTCTGACTCTCTATCTCTCTCCCTTCTTCTCTGTAAAAAATCAATAAAATATATTTTTTTTTAAAAAAGGAAAAAACACAACAACACAAACCCCTACTACTTCTTAGGCACTTCTCACTCCAACCCAGGTCTTTCAAGGTCTGTCCCTGAATAGTTTGGAAGAGGCAAGAATAGGAGATTCTCTGCCCCAGACTTGGAAAGTTTCCTGTTTCCTCCTGCCATTTGTGCTTCTGGTAGGCTTGTAACACTCCATAGCTTCTTCTGAGAAGCCCACTCATCCCTCTCCCCAAGAGGATGGTGTAGTGGCGAGGAATGTGGTTTCAGGCCATTCCAGTACCTGCTCATCTAAGTGGCCCACATCAGTTAATACCTAGGCCTGATGTTTTCTGGAGGAAATGGAAAAGGGGTGATCTTTTATTGGGGCTGGACACTTCACATGGGATAGCTTATCAAATTTAGTCCCCTTAAGAGTGTCTCAAATAACTAAGTAAACAAACAAATGTGCGCAAGCTCACATAACTAGAAGTGGTGGATTCAGAATTTGAACCCAGGTATAAGAGACTTAAAATCTACTGTCTTTTCCACCATAACATGCTGCTTCTAGTGTTAATATCCACAATGTTTTAGGAACTATACCTTTCAGCACCTAACAGACACAGTTAAGAAGCCCACTACCTTACACACAGGATGGGCAGCCCCACTTTACAGGGAAGAAAATGTCCTAGAAGGCCAGTATTTTAGGGCATGGCAACGAAACCAGAGGGAGCATTCAAGGCACAAATGGAACTAAGCCATTGTCTTGATTCTGCCACTGCCTCACAAAGTGATTCCACTGTGGCCTGCAGTCTCTCCCACTCACTTATTAAATTTCTTGGGATAACTCTGGTTAATAATATTATATAATTTTAAATGTACAAGATTATAATTCGACATCTGTGTACTCTAATGTGTGTCCCCCATCCAATTTTAGTCTTCTTTCATCACCATATATTTGACCCCCCTTTATCCACTTTGCCCACCCCCTGTCCCCCTTCCTCTCTTGTAGCCACCATCCTGTTGTCTGTACTATGAGTTTGTTTTATTAGTTCCTTTGTTACTTTTTTTTCATATTCCCCATATGAGTGATATAATATGGTTTTTGTCTTTTTCCGTCACTTATTCCACTTAGCATAATACTCTTGAGATCCATAATGTTGTCACAAATGGCAGTATTTTATCTTTTTTATAACTAAGTAGTGGTCCATTATATTTACATATATATCATATACATTCACTCTAAAATAGTTAGATGAGGCCCCTTCTGGGATAATCTATGATTGTGGAAGTCTAATCTATAAAGGAAATGTACATTTCCACATTCTAGTCATCCATGGAGTTATTCCTACTAGACTATAACTCCATGCATTGGCAACTATGGACATGTTCACTGTGTATCACCTGGCTCTAGCACAGGACCTGGGAACCATTCACTAGACAAACAGAGAAATGAAATAGATGCATGAATGGGGATGCTTTACACTGATGGTAGAACCTAGACCACCTTCCTTACCCAATGTGGTGAGAGCCCATTCTACTGTTAGCCAATCCGTGTGTCCTATGTCATCTGTGAGCTCTGATTGGATCACTTCCTGCTCTGCGTGGTCAGGCTCTCACTAATGGGTTTGACATCTTCAAGCAGCACTAACATCACCAGTGAGAGATGCCGCTTCCATGTGCCACCAAAACATGTGGGTGGGTTGTGTCCCACCCATTTTACAGACTGAGAAGGCAAGGCATGGTGAAGCCAGATGACGGGTACAAGTGCCAGGGTGAATCACAGGGCTATCTTCAAACATATCTTTGGACACAAGCTCATAAAACCAGAGACTTGTGGACTCATGCAATAGTAGTTTAGTAGACTCACGGGTTAAGAGAATTAGGAATTCACAGAATCAGAATTCTGGCATCTCTGAGGTACAGGGGACTAACACACATCATCGGTCTGGCCCCTGCCAGGAGAGACAGATCATCTGACCTAATGGGCTATTCTTTTTAAGATTTTCTGGTCTTTAAAAATTCTCTGGTCATTAAAACAGTCCCTCTGGTTAGCTCATTTCAGGACTTACTACCATCTTCATAGTCAGGAACTGTATACTAGGGTATCTTTAAGGTTCCTTAGAGACTCAGCATCCACAAATCCTGACATTAATTACATGGTTGAAGCTGTGCTCCTCAGTGCACAAACCAAACCAAGATTTTAACTCATTGGTACCACCAGCCCCAATCAGGAGATCAGAGCGGGAGTTGCCCAAGTTGGCCTGTCGCTCCCTGAGGGCAGGGCCTGGGGCTCCTCTCATCCTGGGAGCTTCCTTTGACCAGGGTCTAGAGATGTTCTGAGGGCAAAATCTGGGGTGTGTGTGTGTGTGTGTGTGTGTGTGTGTGTGTGTGTGAAAAAGAAGTGGAACGAATTAAGAAGCCACACACCTAGATGAGAGATAGAGAAAGGAGAGAGAGAGAGAGAGAGAACACAGGAACATTGTATCCAGTAAGAAATGTCACTTCTGTGTCTGAGACTAGAAGATGGTGCAGAGGCCCCTCCCTCAGAGCCCGTGTCCACGTGTGTCTCTCTTCTGGGCCCAGCTCTGACACTTGCCCCAGAACCCCTGCACCATTATTTCAGAGACAATCAAGAATTTCTCCTAGATTATCAATATATCATATTGGACAGCTGGCAAGGACCTTTACAGGCACTGGGCTCAGCCCTTATATTGTAACAGGCCCACAGGAGGGAAGAAACTTGCTCAAGGCCACACAACCAGGTAGGAGCAGACACCAGACAGGAATCTCTGAATCCCATCGAGGTCACAGACCATTACAACATGTGGTCACTGGACAGGCTTGCTGGGAGCGCCCTTATCTGGCCTCCTCCTTGCCTCCCTCCGCTCTCCCAAACCCGCCATGTTTATTTTGTTCACACCTGTAGCCTTAGATCTTAAAACTGCTCTTGGGAGAGAAAAAATAACCAATAAATATCTTTTGGATGAAAAGTCCAAGCAAATATTAATGTGAAATAAAGCATGTGCCTAACATGTGAGCCAGTACTAAGCGACTGTCGGTTAGTTTTGCTGGTATTTCTACCTTTTATCCACCATCGACCATATGCAATAATCCTAGTTGCGTTCAGTCCTGAGCAAAAGGACTGAAGACAGGTGGGCAGGGTAAGAAATAAGGCTTTTCTTTTAATTCAGAAGAATTGCAGCCTAGAAAGGCTGTGACTCTGTCACACGAGCCCCTGGTCAGGCCGGCCACCACTTTCCACCCATTTTGGAAAG